CGCTGCTTGCAGCTTTAATATTATGATTATAATTGGTTTAAAAGCACAAACAGAATAAAAATGCTCCATATAACCACCTCAATCAGAATAAACATGCCCCAACCCACTGAAATTTCCATTGGTTGCAGAGGGATAGTTTAAACCTTTTCCTAAACTGATCAAAAGAAAAAGAATGTACCATGTAACAACGGGGTGTATGTAGATGGTTAACCTCTTTACTTTCTGGCTGTGTTGTATCTGCACATGCCCTCCATCTTGACATAAATGCATGAGGAAGTTTGGGGGTTGGGGGGCTAGTTCATTTTGTTAGGCAAGTCAAAGTGAACTTCAGACTTATTTCACATAAAAGGAAAAACAAAGGAATGAATAGACAAAACTCACTGAAAGGCAACAGCAAAAAGAAAAGTAAGTTAAAAACAAAGGTCTGACAAGAGGCTAAACACATCTCAGATCCTCAGGAAGGCTGATCCTGCAAAAGGCAACAAATGAACAACTGACGCTTCAGACAGTAAGAATACCCGTGTCGGATCACCAGAGATGCACAGTAGTTGTTAATTGACACCTTTTCTTCTTTACTGGGATGTTGAAGTGAGCCATAACTAAACAATTGTTCAAAAAAGTCATATTTCAAGCCAATTTCCTGGCAAAGATTTGAGAAGATCACTGAAGGCACCCCAACTGTTGAAGTGCCCATGACCAATGCTTTTAACCTAACTGCTCCACTAAAGAAAAACTGGACAGCTTCCAAGTGTGAATGTGTATTATGAGTGTGAAGCAAAGCGCTGTCGAAAAGAGAGCATTCATGCTCAGCAGATTAAAGATTTGGCAGCTGATCAGCTGTATATTTATATTTACATCACATGATAAATTCAGAGAAAAACAGCATAAAGTGTCTTAGTAAGGTGTTGGACCACAACGAGCATCCGCTCCAGTGCTACTCGTTGTAGATTCTCCTAGTAGAACCGGAGGGATGATGGTGGTGGAGTTAAGTTAGGATCCGGTGACTGTAAGGCCAAAGCATATGATTTAAAGCATCAAACCATTTGGTGACCCCTTGTGGCTGGGGGCACTGTCATCATGGATGAGACGGTTCTCATCAGCACTGTCATTTGTCACTTCAACACGGACGCCTATACTGAAATCAGCAGGTCTACGCCCCACTTGTCAATAAGCAGTGTGGGAGATACAGTGAGACGGGTTGAAAGAAATGTGGAATTAGCTGTGGTGTCAGTGGGAAGTGAAGATGAGATGACACCAGGGAACCAAAATGTCTTGGCTCAACTGTTTAAATCCAGCATTCTGGGTTGCTTGACTGGACTTGATTTGTGATGAATGACAAGCTCTCCAGTTTGACTCCAAATGCTATCACTGATTCTCAGACCAAAATGGCCGACCCCCCAGAACTTAATTGAATCTGGGAGCTTTGTTCTCCTCGACCAGACACTCGAACCCTCAGACCCATCTGTCTTGGAGGGGATTTGTAAAGCGAGTGATTTTAAAAGACACAAATAGTCAAAGACATGGGTTGACAGAGTGGCTGGAAGCAGAGCAGCAGAACATGGCCTAGAAAAGACAGAGTCTATCTTGTTGCAGGCATTGTTAGTGTGTGGAGATGGGTTAGCTGAGGCCGCTCATGAAACATAACAGTTTAACCTTGCACCTGTCACAGCAGCTAGAGCAAAATGTCCTCACATTAGATCAAATTTTGTGATGCTTTTTATCCATTTGAGAATATTTGGTTCTTGTAAATATAAAAAAATCAAAAACACACAACCAGACACGCACAGCGTTGCTTGCCTTCCTGCAGATGCATGCTGAACATGATTCTGACAGGCTGGCTGAGCATATCTCTTTATCTGACTCACTCAGTGTCTCTTTATCTGCCTTTTTCTGTGGAAGAACCTCAGAATGTTTTTTTTAAAACTTCTATAATCAAACAAATGCACTGACATTGACCCCCCCCCCGAGCATGTGACAGGACTTTTGGTCAGGCAAACAGGCACAATGGTCATGACCTTAACCCTTTGGGCCTGCAGGGGGAGGATAATAATGAAGCTATAAAGTATAAATATACCTGGTTGTGACATTGACATTAAGCACAAGGCTTGATAATATGTCAAAAATAATCAGGTTGTCTCGCTGTAACACACACAAATGATATGATTATAGTATCTAGCAAGTCTACCTTTTTGCTCAATCTACCTAGTTACCCCACATAAATGTTTGATAGTAAAACCACATCAACATGTGATTGCAGGATAAGTGTTTATGTGCTTGTGTTCTGCTAGATGTATTTGTTTATTTTACAGCCAACATTTAAAATGTTCCACTCATAATCTTTCATTACCTACAACAGCACTCTCCTTTACTTTTTTCTGTTTTCTCATTAGCCTGCTTACCACAAGAGAGCGCTGTTGCTCATGTTTGCATTCCACACAAAACACGGCTGACATTACTCAGTGTGTATAGTATGAGAAAAACATAACAACAGGGCAGTTTCAGAGCTCTCTGAAAGTCGTATCAGG